GGGCGAAGAATCCGGGTGAGGATGTAGAGAAGAAGACGCTTCTCCGGCGGGGCTGAGTGGATTGTTGGTGCGCCGCTGTGACGGATGAGGTTGGTGATCCCAAGCTCTCGGATGACCACCGCCTCGTTGTTGAGGATCCAATCATCGCCGCCATATGTTGTTATGTCGTCACCGCGGGTGGGCAGCCCTGCGACCCGAGCGAAGGTAGCCAGATCAATCTCTATGTCGTAGAGATTGATGCTACTGCGAATGGTGTCCCCGTCCCGGCGGAGATTGGAGTAGAAGGCTCGCACAAAGGCAGGATTGAAGCTCGAGCGGCTCCTGGAGACGAACGACCACAGACCCGATGCTTGAAGCTGGTTGTCGAGGTCGTGGTACCCCTTTTGTTGAGGGTACAACTCGGGCAGCACCCTAGGCGGAGAAATGGGACGCTTGGCAAAGTGCGTGAGGAACCGGTTGAATTCCTCCTCTGACCCGAATTCCAAGAAGGATCCGTCCAGGTATGGAAAGGGTTGAGGCGCAGAGCTCGTAGCCTCAGCGGCGGCCTTCTTCTTCGAAACCTTTGTCTTCTTTCCTCCGGCCATGAATGAAGCAAAAAGATGAAGAATTGTGTAACAGAGGAGATTTTGATGTGAAAAATGTGTGTTAAAATGAGTAGAGATGAAGGATATATATAGGAAAGGGTGTGAAATTCGTTTGATATTCAAAAAAGTGACTGTTGGGCAATAAATTTGGTGACCAACGGTTAAAAAATTTGAATTGGCAGCACGCTTCCCAGCGATGGGTGGAACTTCCCATCGATGGGAAGGTCGACACTGGAAAGTGAAGAAGAAAACAATGGCTGCCTTCCCAGCGATGTTAATACCATCCCATCGCTGGTTTGGTATTTTTGAAAAACCGTTAAAATTTTTTTAAAAAAAATAGTGTCAAATACCCAGCGATGGGAGGAGCTTCCCATCGATGGGTTTGGAGGTTCTGAAACAAGAACAGGAACTCACCCAGCGATGGGATAAACTACCCATCGATGGGTAAAGGCGTTCTGGAAATCTGAAAAAAAATTTAAGTCAAACACCCAGCGATGGGAGAAAGTTCCCATCGATGGGTTGGGAGGTTCTGAAATTTTTTTTTTGATAAAAGTCCTTCACCCAGCGATGGGACAAAGTACCCATCGATGGGTTAGGGTGTTCTGGAAATCCGTTAAGTAATTTTTAAAAAAAAATTAGAGTCAATTACCCATCGATGGGAAGAAGCACCCATCGATGGGAAGAGGGGTTCTGGAAAAAAAGAAACTTCTCTCCCAGCGATGGGATGTCCTACCCATCGCTGGTTCCCCCTGATTTCCAGAGTTCTTTACTTCGAACCGTCCCTGCAAAAAAGAGTTAGAAAATCCTCCAACGCTCAAGTTAGTAAACGTTCCAGTAATAATAAAAGAATGATAAAATGCACAAATTAGATCATCGTGGAGTCAAAGATTCCGAGTTCGCTACGAATGCGGAAGAACGACTCTTTTTCTAAAGGTTTTGTGAAAATGTCGGCTAATTGGTTGTGTGTTTCAACAAACTCAATTTCGACATCACCTTTGAGAACATGATCTCTAATAAAATGGTGCCTAATGTCAATGTGTTTCGTCCTTGAATGAAGAACGGGGTTCTTCGTCAAGCTAATGGCGCTAGTATTGTCACAACGAAGAGGAACGTGACTGGTACTAAGGCCATAGTCCACGAGTTGTTGCTTCATCCAAAGGATTTGAGCACAACAACTACCGGCGGCAACGTATTCCGCTTCGGTTGTGGATAACGCAACACTGACTTGTTTTTTGCTAAACCATGAAAGTAAAGAACTACCAAGTAAGTGGCAAGTCCCACTTGTACTTTTGCGGTCCAATTTGCAACCGGCAAAGTCCGATTCGGAGTAGCCAACGAGAAGACACGAAGAGCCTTTTGGATACCACAGTCCAACGTTGACCGTGCCGACAAGGTATTTCATGATCCGTTTCACCGCGATTAAGTGCGATTCCTTCGGACATGATTGATACCTCGCGCAAAGGCATACGCTAAACATGATATCCGGCCTACTAGCGGTAAGATAGAGAAGGGATCCGATCA